TGGGCAATCTAACAGGTGTGATAAACTTATCATAAGCCACTTGCATTTATTGCTAGATATCGCCTCTGTATAGGTGGCCTGTGTATGTGGGTATACAGTAAATGTATAATTTGCTTTGCGGATACTGGGCCACTATTATTTAATTAATCCTTGTTCTGATTCCCTGCCAGCATTCCCCATTATCAACTCTTGATACTTGGTCACTAGTGGATAATATGCATTTATTTTCATTTTCCCAGGAGTGGCAAACTAATCAGTTAACTGCATATGGACTGTATGTGACCTTAAAACTGTGAGATTACACTTGTTAATGTTCATGGGAACACTACAAAGTGACTATGTGACCTCCAATTATCATATTTCCTAATATATTTTGGGTTAACATAACACCATATATCTCATATGGCTTTACTGATGATAAGATATGTAACATAAGGGGGTTTTTTTCAAATTCCCTCATTTTGATAAATAAATTATATTTACAGGAGAGTGGGAGCTATCTAAGTTTGGTGAGTTAATGTGTGAGGGCATACATTCAAAACTTAAAAACATCTTTAGTTACTTGTTACTGTGAATAATATGTAGAATGAACGCCTTGTGTCTGCCAGTTCACATGGAGAGAACAAATTTGCCCAATGGCAAACTATTAAGTGCTACTTTTTCACCAGAACCTTCAAGCTGCAGACAAAAATAGGAAATACATAGTTGGCACAGATCTGTTTCTCTAAAGACTTGCTTCTAGGACAGTCAGTTATGACTATGCCTCAGCCCCTTGATTTATTTTAATATAAAGTTAATCAGGAACAGTAAAGTCTTAATCCTCTGTGTACTTGTACAAAAAGTCTTTGTGTTTTGTAGCCACCCTTCTGGTTTTTTTCATGTAATAGCTGGTATTTCTCCTGGGATTCTTTGTAGGAACTGGAACAATAATTACAATAATTGCATGATACAAAACCACGTCTAGTTAAAAGCTCTGAACATGTTACTCAGCCATTAAGCTACCTAAGTCTTCTGAAGTTTAAGATCCAGAAGTTCACAAGTTTCTTTTGGAAGTTGAAACTAGGTTAAACCCAGATAGTATTTGGATGATGTATCATATTTTTAAAGATGAGTTAAATTGAGAGGGATTGTTTGTTTGTGTCATGTATGTGTCGAATAGTTAGTGTAAGGCACATTAAAACGTAAGTCCGTGATAATTTTGATGCCAGCTCAAAAACGCTCTGTTTTCAGAACTTGATGTTGGGCTCAGTATTTTGGAATGCCTGATGTTTGAACGTGTTGGATTTGGCAGTAGAGTTATAAAGCTGGTAAATTTTCTTTTCGGTAGCAAATATTTCACAGTTGCAATAAGAAAAACATATCCACACTTAACACAACAAAAAATGTGTTGTTTCTGTTCACTGTACACTTCTCTGTACTTCATAGGTTCTAAAAGTCTGAGCCTCATGCGTAATAAGATCACTTAGTAAAGGATTTGGTGACTCCAAACAACTAAGATCAGAAACATAACAGAAATGAAAAGTTACTAGTAAAATTGTATGTATTGATAACCAGAAGATGGTAAAGACTGTTAAGGAATGATGGTATGGACTGGCATTTGTTTTTAATCCAATGTGATTATAAAACCAGTGTTAAAGTAATCAAAATATATTCATATTACTGGCTTTATTTCAGCACTGGTTTTAATAAATTGCATGTATGCCAGCTGACTTTAAAACTATATTAAAGTTTTAGGTTATTGCATATTGGAAAAAGTGTATGGGACGAATGTAGTTTCATTGCATAAATTTAATATAGCTTTACTTACTGCAATTAAACTGTTACCTATAGCAAGTGCTGCATCTGGTGGCTAATAAATCAAGCTGTTCTTTAATTTATGAAAAAAATAAAGAAGAAAATTGAAGTGGCTTGCTGTGCAAGACTATCCAGACTGTTTAGATTATGCCACAGGTTTATATTTTGTTTCATTAGTATGCTTTAACAAGGTATTTAGATGCTTTTAAGTAGATGTGTGAAAAACAACAATTGTATGTTATTTAAACTTCTGTTTTGACACTTCACAGACTTATATTCACATTGAATCAAGAGTCAGAGAAAAGTAAACACTCTCCCAAAATAGAATAACTGTTTTTAGCTCTAAGGAAAACAGCATTAATTGAAAAATGTCATTTCTAAACTCAGGGATAGTGTTGTGATTATAGACATTAGCAATCTAGAAACACATTGAATAATGATTGTGGAATACAATAAATAATATAAATACACACAATTTATAATCAGAGTAATCATTGTGTACTGAATTCAAAGCTATATAAAGCCATCCAATTTTCTTCTTTCCTACTTTATATTATTCTTGATTGCCTGACTTAGTGTTTGTTCTACTTTTATAGCAATTAAGGATATATATATATATATATATATATATATGGAATCTCATGTTCTTCCAGGAAGAAAAGTCTATTTGCTGGTATCAAAAATCCGTTGAGTGAAGTTCTGCCCCTTTTGAAGTCAATGGGAGTTTTTCCATTAACTTTAGTGCAGCCACAGTTTCAGTCTCACTCTTCACAAGACTATCTTGGCCATCTTAAACTTCACATACTCTTTTTCCTGATTCTTAAAATTAATTATGTAATAAAAAATGCAAAGGCTGATGGATTTCAGGCCAGGAGCGACCATTAGATCTTCTAGTCTGATCTGCTATCAGATCAGACTAGAAGATTGGCTATTAAATTTCACTATTACTCTTCTACTGAGCCTAAGAACTTGTTTTTGCTTAAGTATAACTTGTATTTTCCTAAAGTATATTTTCCCAGAAATGTATCCAGTCTTATTCTGACAACGTTTAAATATGAAGAATGCACCACTTAGTAGTTTGTACCACTGTAGTATTTTTACTCCCATAGCTTGGAGGGGGAAAAAAAGGTGGGTTTTGTTTCTTCACTTGAATTTTGGTATTAACTTCTAGCTGATAGTTCTTGCTAAGTCTTTCTTAATAGGTTAAAGATACCTTTCATATCCAGTGTTTTTTCTTGTCATAAGGAGTTTATACATAAATCAAGTTACTTCTCAATCTGCCTTTATTTATTTATTTAATAAGCTAAACATTGAGCTCTTTAAGGGTTTGTCTGCTTGGCATTCAGCAGTTCTGTGCTGAGCCACAGCTAGTATGCTGAGACACTTGTATGTATAAGAACTAGAGTCTGAACTGGAAACCATGGAGCCACGTTTGCACAGGGCCACTTCGCTCCTAGGATTAGCATGTGAATTGTACGGTAATCTTTTCAAATGCTTTAGCAAAATGTTTAGATTTTACTAAGTAGATTTTTTTCAAGAATTTTATAATCTCCTCCATTTTGATAATCTACTTTTTTCCTAACAATTTGATACCACCACACATACTATATTTTTTCCACATACAGCACATCCCCTGCATCTAGTACGCACCTTGTTTTAGAAGGGTATCTTGCAAAAAAGAGAAGAGATCATCATGTCTAGTAACTGAGTAGCAGCAGCTAGGAAGCTGAGCCTGCTCCCAAGCCTGCTGCTAGCCCTTCCTGTTGGTTTAGGTCCACAGACTGACCTGGCATGCTTTGTCCGGGTCCATACGTCAAGTCTGACCCCATGTGCTGGCTTCAGTATTACAGGTCCAGGACTGCACTCCAGGTCCCCGTGGGGCCACATGCTGATTCTGGGGTCACATGCTAGGTTGGACCTGATATGTCAGTTCCAGGACTGGACACCAGGTCCAGGATCACTCTAGCAGCATGCCAGTTCAGACCTGGCACAATGACTCCAGGGCTGACCCCATACACTTGTTCTAGAGCCAGGCACTGGGTTGGACCCTGTGGGCCATGTCCAGGGCCACATGCTGTTTTGGGGTGTGTGTTGGGTTAGACCTGATGTGCCATGTCCAGGGCCATGTGCTAGGTTGGGCCACAAACCAGTCCCACACACCAGCCCAGTCTGGCATGCAGGGTCATGTCATCTGGCGGAGGGGTCCCCGTGGTTCTAGAAACTTGGCGGCAGATGAGAGGTGGCAGTGTTAATTGTTGTGGCTCTAGGAGCCACAGTGATTAATGCTGTTACCACTCCCCTGCCATCAAATTTCCAGAACTTTGGAGAGTTGTTTTTCTTGCATATAATGTGCACTCCACTTTTCACCAGCTGGTTTGGGGGAGAAAAGGTGGGGGTTATATGCAGTAAAATATGGTACTTTACAGCTATCTGTCACCTGTATTATGTCCTGCCTCCCTTTATTTGTCAGGCATTTCTTCTGCAAAGATTCTTTTTTCCTATAGCTTAAAAGAATGGTGTTACAAAATTAGAACAAGAAGGGGAAATTAGTATTGAATTCTTGGCTATTCCTACTTACAGAGTAAGAGACTTTATACTCCTAAACTTTGTGAACTGAAGCATAGTAGAATATTTTGCACAGCAAATTCAGTTTGAATTTGTGTTTGGCTGCCAAACTCAGAAATAAGAAGTTAGTTCCCAGTTGACATTCCACTAACATTTTTGAGTGTGGGTAGCTGTGCAGATCATGGTCTTAAATTTATTGTAAACTTCTAACATGTTCTAGCTTTTGGAGTAATCAGATCTCTGCCATTTCCAACTTACTAGGTTCAGTTTTTTTACTGTTCCCTAAAATGTGATGGGCAAGGCTCTTAAGGTTTTTCTTCCCTCTTCCTTTTTTAAAATTAGTCTTTTTCTGTGGTGATCTGAAGTATATGTGATGTGACCCACTTGATCATTCTATTCTGAATGTCTTTTATAGCTGTCATTTAAAATCTTTGCAGCTGTTTGTGACCCTGGCTGGTTTACAAACCCTCATCTTTGCAAGGACTACGAAACCTAATCCTGTCAACTATCCAAATTTTATTTTGCATGTTTCAGCATACAAAACCCTATAGAATTCTAAGTATTAAATAGTATGTTCTTATTTAAATTAATTTTGCAACTTTAAAGATTTTTAACAGTTTTCCTCTTTCCTTTTGATTTAGTTCTTCATAGGGGAAAGATTTTATAACAAAACAATGGACACTGAAGGATTACAAAGACTAAATAAAATACTGAAGATGCTAATGCTTCTGCTAGCATATTTGGTAAGTAAATAATCAACACTTCTTTTTTCATCATAAATATTAGAAAAAAAATCTATTTTTAACTAATTGTTAAAGAATGCAACCTTTGAAATCAAATTTTGGGCTCGATATAAATTCCACATTTAATGTAAAAGATTGCTGATTTATTTTATCTTTTGTTTTAGTTGAGTAGAGCAACTTGTGAGACGGGAGATTGTAGAGAACAAGAATTTAGGGATCATGCTGGAAACTGTATTCTTTGTGAACAGTGTGGACCTGGAATGGAGCTGTCAAAGGTAGATATACTGCAAAATAGCACTACCTTAATTTTATCCTCTATTTTCACAAATCTGTTTATATATTTTGGTTAAAATAATGGGTATCTATATTTTCATGAAACTATTTTTAAGATTCTTGACTTCTTGTTAACAATTTTCTTTTCTAAAATAATGTTTAGTTCTTAGATGTAAAACCAAACATATCTGGGTCAGAAAATTGTGTTGTCTTGAGGTAACTAAACAATTTTAACTTAGGCAATTTAGTATTTATGGTCCCTGATTTGATTAACCTTAATTTAAAAGGCATATTTCCCACACCTAAAATTTCCCTCTAAGCATTCTGGCAAACAAAAGGCTTTTTTGAATGCCTTAATTATGTATTTCTTACCTCAAGATATTTGGATATGATAAGTATAACCTTATTTCTGAAGCTGCTGGGCTCATAGTGCTTTGGATTGGGGATAATTACAATATCCCTGTAAGTTAACTGATACATACTCTCAACCTTCACTCCATTTTAACATAGCTTTTTGTTTGGGTATTACCTTTTAAAATACTTAAATGTAATGAACAAAGCTAGAAAAATAATATAGCAGCATTTTTTGAGTTTCTTGTGTATTGGGAGATGTTATAAAGTATCAATCTCAAGTTGCTTTTTAAAAATATTAACTTTTAGGTGCAGATTTACCTTTTGAGAGCGCTTACCTAGTAACAGAGATGCATACTTAGTTCCATTTCAGCCTGAGGGGAGCTACTTCAGAGGCAAATATTTTAGCTATAGGTATATAGGCTCTAGGGAGGTATTCTCCATCCCTCCTATTAAACCTGTGTCACTGTGGAGTCCTTCCTTCTCGTGTGCTTGTATTTGTGACAAGGTATTTAAAAGAATTCACAGATTTGTTAGAATCTGACATGGCTATGCCATGAGCATTTTCGCTGTGGCCTACCGTGAAGTGAGGAGTTCAAGATTTGCTGAGTGAGAAAGAGGCTTCAAAATGGAGTAACACTTTATAATATAATGTGGTGTGTCAAACGTATGACCTGTGGGCTATCCAGGTCTGTGGAGATGTGAAATCTGTCTATGGGGCTCTTGGAGGGGACATGATTTCAGCAGCAGAGTGAGGTGCAAGTGGCAGTGGTGGAGACCTCTACAGTTCCCTGAGCTGACACAGTAGCATATTGTTAATGCTACACTTGTTCACCCTGATGCGAAATCTCATGTATGGATCCCTAATGGGGATGCAGTGTTAACTGCTGCAGCTACCACAGCTGACACAGTAGTTAAGGCAGCTGCAGGGATTAAATGCTGTTGCCACTATCTCTGACACCAGAAGTGGGTCTGGATCAAACCTGGGAGAAGCTCTGCGGTCCAGATGTGGCCCACAGGGATAAATGCATTTGACACCCTGGGTCTAATGATTCCTGCACCCAGCTGAAAGGGACATATTAGGTTGTATTAACAGGAGTGTCACTTGCAAATTAAGGGAAATTATTCTTTTGCTCAGTTCAGTGCTGGCAAGGCCTCATGTACCTGGAGTACTATGATCAGTTTTGGGCCCCACACTTTATAAAGGATGTGGACAGAATGGAGAGTCCAGCACAGAACAAAAATGATTAGGGACCCAGGAGACAAGACTTTGGAAAGGCTGAAAGAGCTAGGGATATTTAGCCTAGAAAAGAGAAGACTGAGAGGGGATTTGATAAGTCATCTATTATCTGAGGGGTGATTTAGAGAGAGGATGGAGATGGGCTTTTCTCCATTGTCAGAGGACAGAACTAAGAGCAGTGGCCTCCAGCTGCAGCACAGGGCAATTTAGGCTGGAGATGAGGAGGATCTTTCTGACTATAAGGGTGATCGAGCTTTGGAACAGGCTACCTAGGGAAATTGCAGAAGTTCTATCCTTGGAAGTTTTCAAAAAGCAGGTTAGACACTTGACTGAGATGGTTGAACAAGGGTCTGGATTAAATGATCTGGTGAGGTCCCTTCCAGCCCTACTTTCCTATGAACCTATAACAAAAAAAAAAGTGTTATAGCTGAATTGGTCAGCATTCTAGGCCTAATTAAAATATTTTTCCTTAGAAAGATTTTTTTTTAATTTCAAGAGGAATCCTTTTACAGATCTGTGAAACAAATACAGGAAACCCTTGCTATTCGTGGGTTTTGCATTCGCGGTTTAAAATATTCACAAATGCCGAACCTGCATCTTAAATACACTTGCAGGAGCCCCTCAGGAGCTCTGCGCTTCCTGCTGCCGTGCTCCCACCACTGCCAGCACAGCTATGCTCCCCTCCCCACCCCAGCCACCAGGGGCGCTGCGTTCATGAACACAGTGCCTTATTTGTGGATTTAGCCATTCACAGGGGATATGAGAATGTATCCCCCGCGAATGGTGAGGGTCTCCTGTATTTTTATAGGACCGAGAAATTAAAATATTAAGAGCTATTATGATGGAATATATTATTCAGTAAACACATGCATAGTGAAATAGTTGTAAGATGCATGTCAGTCTGTTAAATACCAATTACTAAATTACTACCTTCTTTGAATATAGTAGGCTAAATCTTGTCCTACATTTTAGTGAAAATGGATAAAAACAGAATTTGCCTTTTTATTTAGAAGGAACCAAACGCAATTTTTAAAGTTTTGGTTTTTTTATGGCCAACTGATTTGTGTAGTTTTAAAGGGTGATCTTGTAATTAAACATTAAACAGCTTTAGACTTTACTGTTTTTTCTTCTCAAAGAAAGCTGGCAATGACGGTTTTATCGTTCTTACTATATTCAGCTCTGGAAAAAAGTATAGTTGAGCATTGTGGTTTGTGGCTTTGAAAGGATTTACTCAAAGAATCCTTAGAGTTTAAAAGTTACTCAAGAATTTCAGTCTTACAAAATTGTGCATGAAATATACTTTTCTCTTTTCTCTATTGCTCTCACACAAATTCTTGGTATGGTGTATATATTTTCAATGCATTCAACTACAATATCCATGACAACTCGTACTTTATTAAGGATATAAAGGTGTCAAACATACAACATGCTGAGCTTTCCAGCAGGCCACTAGAAGTTGGGGGCATAGGCTGCTGTGGAATTCAGGGCTCTTAAAACCTGCTGGCCTAGCTGTCTATGGCAAGTTTGGCTTGCCATGGTGACTGCCCCCAGAACCTTCCTTTTGCCAGTAGCCCCCCACGCCCAGACTCCTCACTGCATCAAGACTCACAAGCACCACACTAGCCACAGCAGCCTTCTCCATGCTCCAGGCTGGATCTAACCCACCAGAAGCCTCATGGTCCACATCCATCCTGGCACGCCAGGAGGTCTTGACACCATATACACTCCATATGTGTCTAGCATGTGAGACAGCATGACTAGGATCTGAGCCTGCAAATTTCTGTGTATGTGAGTAACTTGTTGAAGTAGTTGACTTAATTAAGGCTACTTGCAGAAAAGTGGTCTCAGATCTTAAATTTATGAGCATTTACCTTCCTGTGAGTTTATAGAAGCAAGCACAAATGTAGTGCTTTATATACTACTGCTTTTTAAAAACCATTCTACTTCTGTATGTATTGCATTAAGATATGATGCAGACCAGTTAGTCCTTAGTCCTTTTTTTCAAAAAGACTAGACCCATAACAGATGTGTCTACACCACTTCCCCAGTGCTCCCTGGGGGGATCACTTTTGAGCATGTCTGGTCAACCCATCACTGTTCCTTATGTGCCAGACCCAGAAAAAAGGTGGTGAAGCTGCCTTAGGGCTGCCTTCTCTCCCTCCTGCTACTGTCAAAATCACTTATGGGGTAGCCCTGTACCAGCTTCACCACCTCATTTTGGGATTTGGTGTCTATGAAGTGGAAATGAGTGACTAGGGTGTGCTCAAGAGTGGTATTTCCTGAAGTGCTGAGGAAGTAGTACATAGATACCACAGGGTAAAATCCCTTTGTGGCTTTAGCTCTAAATCCAAAATTTAGGTCTTCAACTTTCGTCTAATCATGGAGGCATCTAAATTCGCTAGATGCTTATGCTGCCATCCCTAAAGTCCCTGTGGGGACTGGGTGTAGGGAGTCCATGTGCTATGCTAGGAGCAAACATTCAGAGGGCCAGGCAGAGCCAGGGGGGAGCAGCCCAAGAGAATTGTACTGTTATTTTGTGTATTATATAATAGTAATAAAATTAATAGCCCATTCGTTAATCACATAATGTTATAACAGTGATACAATATTTATATTTAATTTTTAAATGGAGTGCTGCTACATTTTGAAAACTGGAGGAGGGATGTCTGAAGTCTAAAAAGGTTGAGAACTACTGATTTAAATAATTCACAGATTCATAGATGCTAGTGTTGGAAGGGACCTCAACAGATCATCAAGTCTGACCCCCAGCCTAGGCAGGAAAGAGCGTTGGGGTAAGATGACCCCAGTCAGATGCCTATCCAGCTTTCTCTTAAAGACCCCCAAGGTAGGGGAGAGCACCACCTCCCTTGGAAGCCCCTTCCAAATTTTCGCCACCCTTACTGTGAAGGCATTTTTCCTGATACCTAGCCTAAATCTGCTCTATGTCACACTGACTATTGTTCCTTGTTACCCCAAGAGGCGTCTGGTGAACAGAACATCTCCGATCCCTTGCAGCGTCCCCCTCTCAGCCTTCTGTTGCGGAGGCTGAAGAGGTCCAGGTCCCTCAGTCTCTCCTTATAGGGCTTGTCCTGTAAGCCCCTGACCATATGAGTGGCCCTCCTCTGGACCCTCTCAAGTTTATCAACATCCTTCTTGAAGTATGGCACCCAAAACTGGATACAGTACTCCAACTGTTGTCTGACCACATAGAGGGGAAGTATCACCTCATTGGTTCTATTTGTCACACAAATATTTGTCATCATGCTGATGCATGATAAAGTGCAATTAGCTTTGTTGATGATTTTGTCATGCTGACGACTCATGTTCATCTTGGAGTCCACTGTGACTCTGACACCCCTTTCCGCTTCTGTACTGCTGAGAAAGTCACTTCCCAGCCAGTAGGTGTGCTG